GTGCCCTCCCGGTAAGTTTCCCGCAACTTTGCTCTGGTCGATTGCCCTAAAAACCGTTGGCTCTTGACTACAACAATGATTACTTTCTATTACAAGTCTTCTTAAGGAACTACCACTGAATCTGTTGGAGCGATTCGTCGTGAGCAGTGCAACACACCTTTATGTAAAGCTGGACAGTTTTTGGTGAAGGAAACGTAAGTAAAACTTGGCTCGCTATAGGCAGATATTGATTATTTGGAGTCCTAAATGTTTAAAACTTCAGGAAACACTGCCAGTTCTGTCCTCGTGGCACATTCCAAGATGAGGAACAACACACAACTTGTAAAATGTGCCCAACTGACCACACAACAGCAGCCCAAGGTAATTTTCAGCTCAAAAAGGCTCTCTCTTCGCTTCTGGCTAGATTCGATGTGTCTTTACCGATGGTAGAATTTCAACCATTTTCGGCTGTTCTCAAAAATTCTTAGTAGCCATCAATGACGCAATCGAAAACATTTCTGTTTTGATTGGAAGACGATCGCTTGGCGCATTCCAAGAACGTCTTTTCTCACCGATCCCATTGTCCATGCTTCGCGATAGGAAGCCAACTCCACATCGACAGCGCCTAAAATTGTAATACTTACGCTTCGAGCACATTCAGATGTTGTTCAGAAGCTGTTTACTTTTCTCTATTTCTCATTTATCAAGGTGCTCTTCCATGAATGGGAAGAGCAGAAAGTGAAAGAAATTAACTGAGGAAGGTTAGGACAAGTACCAAAAGAGCAGTGCTGCTAAACTTAATTCAGAAAGAACAGTAGTTGGGAGTGTGATGATAATTAAAGGTCACATAGTATTTGACGATTCCTGAGCTTCATTGAATAAGTCTTCTGTGTAGCAGATTGAAGAGAAGCTCATTTAACATTTATTTCGACAACGTTTAGAGAGACCTGAAGAAGGGTTTATAAACCCGAAACGTTGTCGAAATAAATGTTAAATGAGCTTCTCTTCAATCTGCTACACAGAAGACTATATTAAATGAAGCTCAGCAATCGTCGAAAAGTAAAACTAAGTTAATTTCTTGGCGTAGAAGGAAGGCATTGGTAGAAATTTATTATCAGATAAAATCGAATAACCTAATATGTTTAGGAGCGACAGCGGAGTCACAGTGCTATTCAACGAACCAATGTGCTACTGGTGAAGACAACTGTTCATGGCATGCTCATTGCATAGATCTACCAGATGACAACGATGTGCCGTCGTTCCAATGCAAATGCAAGCCCGGTTACCGCGGTAATGGCACGTATTGCCAAGGTGAGCCCTTCACATTAGCCTAGGAAATTGAATTGAGATTACGCTAAATTGCCTTGGAAAATCTTTCCACTTCTCTTCGTATAGCATACACGGTGGATAGCATACAAGAATAGTTCGTGCATTAGAAGACTGAGTAGTAAGAAAGCCATCCAAATCAAATGGGGTGGGGGGAAAACTGAACTAGCTAACCACTATACTCCAATTTCCCCGACCATAGTTCCATTGTGGGAACCGGCTGGAAGACGACGCGCTTGATAGGCTTAGTGGCCTGAAATTTAAAGGCGTTGAAACCAGTCCAGAGCCTCTAAAAACGGACGATCTTACTCGTAAACGGTTAGGCACGCCGCACAATCAACGAGAGTTTTGCCACGCCTCAACGCTCGAAAGGCCAACTAGCCACACACACTTCTACCTTGTCAGCTTCACCCAACCCCATTCGACCCACATGATGTCATTGTATTTAGCTTGTACCAGAAGGATTGCAATCTGATGCGCTACCCGGCTTGGTTTAGTGTGTCACTATTACGCCTGTGGCAAGGCAATAGGAATGCATCGGCTTCTGTCAATTGTTAATATGATGATTATGCTCAACCGAACGTCATCTGTCTCTCACAAGCCGTTGTTCTTACTAAATACACCTTCAACCAATTCCGATTTTTTGGTGGAAGTCGAGTGGATGGTGCATATCAAAAGAGCTAAGCGAATTTCGACGATTCATTATCCATAATTCCGAACTGTAAGCGTGAGTTTTCATTTACGCGGAATCCGATTCATTCCAAAGGTAATTGGCAACCTCTTCATTACCTAATTGAATGAGCTTACACTAAAAACACTCGGATTTCTTGTATTTTCGGATCTTTTCACTCGTTTTATTGAATGCACACTGACGTCGTTATTTGCAGATGCCTGCACTAATTACTGCCTCAATGATGGAGTTTGTAAGAAAAATTCCGGTGGGCTATGTGAATGCCGGCCTGTAAGAGAAACTTCAACCTGGTGAACGGTGAGATATTTTGGCACGAACTTTCATATTTTACTCGCATTTCTTTACTTTGCGACCTTTCTTCTGTCTGCTTGTTTTTTGTGAAGATTCGGTGACATTTACCATATTCTCTATTATTCCAGTCGTTTTATTTTTTTATCATAAACAATCGTCTTCAGCATCGGCAAAGTTCGTTTCCAGCCAAAGTCACAACGGGTGGCAATGATAACCGCCGGAATCGGTATCCCTTTATCCAACTCTTTGTGATTGATTTATTTTTTTCTCTTTCAAAAGGCAGTAATTGAATGAATTTTGGCACATGCCAGTGTTAGGGTCCTTCGGGGAATTGTAGTTTACCTGCTTTCTTCGAATCGAAGATGAAAACAAGTTGATTTCAGGAGGTGTTGTCGCAATCCTTGTCGTCATCGTTATCGTCATATTTATGATCTCATTCCGATTCAATCGGTCCGAAGTTGATTTCGCGGACAAGGTTCAAATAGATGATTTACAACAGTCAAATTTCCTCTACGGACGACCTGCAATAGGTAATTTCCTGTTTTCTCAGAAGTTTTAGTTCTTTGAAGAGTTCAGCGTACTCGGTTAAAAGCACATTGCGAGGTCGAGTGATATTGCATTTGAAATGAAAGCAGTTGTGGCAGTCGGTTCACACGTTATGGACGAAAGCAAAGAAAATCTGCGATTCTAGAAATCACACCACGTTTTGATTAGATGGAGGGCTTTGCGTCCCACCCTTACAGAATTTTCGTTGGGTGGTTCCATCTGATTTTCTGATGTGATTCTTCACGGTATTTCACCGTACCAAAAATCTTCAGAATCTGAATGAGATTGCCCATGGGCGTGGCGCAAGCCCCGCCCACACGCTAACCGCACAATGAACTCTTAACAGTTTCTTTCAATTCCTCTCCGTTCCTGATGGACCAAATACCGGAAGTACTTCCGCCTTTGAGAGGCATAGCCTCCACCTATTTAAGGGTCTCTACACATTGCAGCTTCGCAAGAGGACAATATGTTATTCATATCATTAATCAAATTAAATGTGAAAACATTATATGTTTCTAGTTGGTTAGGTTCACTTGAACAAATCGATAAGAGCTTTTGCATTCTCGCTTGAGATTCGATTTTTGGATCAAATCGTTGCTAGCGGAGCCCTTGTCGTACTTCTAACCCCCATGAGTCCAAATACAACCCTATTTCCTTCCTCCTGCGCAGAAGTGACCCCGTAGAGAAATCCTCGACTGTTATTCACCCAGTCTTGATGGGGTGGAATTCGTGGTTGCCTTGAGTGGGATTCGATGTGGCGTTGGACTTTCGGACCGTGTGCACGAAAAGCGGTGCCACATTCATCCACGCTTCTCACCATGTCAATAAAAATGCGTTTCAGCTTACTTTTCTGTTCGAGCTGACTTCAGTCTAGAATTGAAGCCATGAATCCCCTATATAGTCTTACAAGTATACTCTACATTACAGAAGCACCGCGTCCGATAGGGTTCTACTATGAAGATGATGAGGAGTATGAGTCGAAGACGATGTACGTGACTCGCGATGAGGAATCAAAAGAGGCAGAACAACGCCGTCGGATCGCCCAGCAGCACATGTATCGCCCAGGGCAGACAGAATAAGTTGATTCGCAAGTTTTAATTCTTGATTTAGATTCAGATACAAATGTATGTCAATGTATGTATTTATATAGTGACAGTGTTTGTTGAGAAGAGCATTTGTTCAATGTCAAACGTGTCATGTAATTTGTGTGTATTTTTATTAATTTAAGTTAACGTGCAATATGTTGATAATTTCCTATTGATCGGTATCGATCACCCACGTTCATTGATCACAGACATTCCATTAATGCTCAAAATCTCTGAGTGCCCTTCTTCTCTCTTGAACATTGATCGTGCCCTCGTCGTCGTTGCCTCATCAGCCGCTCTCCCAATCAGTCAGTCGTTTCTTTCATTCACATAATCGATCTTCCAATGAGGTTTCATATATGAGGTTGCAATACGGTAATTTTACATGTAGCGTTAATTTCAGAGTCTTTCAATAAATTTTTATTACTTGACTTTGGGTTGGTCCAGATGCATAGCTACAGCTTATTAGAGCATGACGCTGCAACCTAAAGGCGGCGTTACGAAGAAATCGTTGCCCACTGACTGCATGAAAGTAAAGGTGGTAGACGGTTCAGCGGTTAAGAGAGATCCGAAATAAACGGTTCAGAACCAGCGGGATGAGACCCCTGTGTTCCTACTTCGTTTTTAATATGGGCGACATTCGACGGTAGAGCATGTCATCGACGCGAACGCCTTGCTTTGGCTCTTTATTTTCTCTCTCTCGCCACAGACGGCGATCTAGCACCATCAGCCAATTACAACCCGAGCCCTTGAGTAAGAGGACCGCGTACTGCTTGCTTGCCAGGGTTGGGGTTACGCGCTACGATCGGATGCACCATGCTGCCGAGTGTTGGAGGCTCCCCGAGCCGTCCGGCTTCCTCGCTTCCCCCGGGGAGCGAAGCACGCCGACTGGCAGAAGCGGCTCACTTAACCCTTTGACGACAATGGCACCCACCGGTGGGTGCCACTATGTTCGCCGCGTGGGACAATGGCACCCAATGGTGGGTGCCACCTTAAAATTTCCTTCTTTGTGCATTTAAAACATTTGTAACACCCCAATAATTATAAGCAAGTTCCATAATATCTATGGCTAGCACGGCTTACAGAAATGGCAGCGATTACGATACA